TTCTAGAAGGCGGGTGTGTGTGGGGGGAAGGGTTCTTTTATGCTCCTTTATGTTTGAAAACTGGTGTTAGCATTTCCTTCTGTGACCCAGATCAAACCCCCGAGCCTGTGAGAGAACACCCACTCATGAATGCTGGCAACTCAAGTTGGGAAGAGCAAGGTTCTCCCTTCACTTCTGGAGACCTGTTTAGGGTCCCTCCAGTAATCCCACCACTTCTGGAGACCCACTCAGGCCCTCTCAGTTACTGATTTTTCACAATTCTGTGAGCTATTTGAGTTCATGCTTTACCTTTCAAGTAAGTTGCCTAAGTTTCGCCAATGACCAAGCCAAATGGTTTTGAATTGGGAAAGAACAAAGCAATAAATAAATAAATAAATAAATAAATAAATAAATAAATAAATAAATAGCTAAAGTAAATGAGAAGTAAATGAAAGAAAAAGAAATGGCAAGTGCTAGGGAACAGTAAGCAAAAGCCCCTGCCATAAAGGCTGCGTGTGTGCGCGCATACACCTTTCTCCACCTCACTGCCCTCACTCTGAATTACATAAAAGACTGTTGGTCTGGTCTGAAATGAGCTTCATGAGAGGATTGTTGAGTTTAGATGATCAGGAACGTGGATAAAATTAGAAACAGCATCAGAATCTCTCCTCAGTGGCATCTTTTATATTATTTACCTTTTACACTTCTTGCTTAAGCTTTACATGTCTTCATCAATGTCCTCTTATAAAAATAAATGGAAGCTTCCTCTGGAATGTTTTTCATCACTCAATCAGTCCTGTAACTTGCAGCTCGTAGGACTTGTTTTTCCTGGAACCGACTGAGGCAAGGGTACTGCAGTGACATTGCATGACTTTTCCACCCGGTCTGTGGCCCACCGTTAACTGTGTTGACATAATAAATTGAAGATGGTTGTATTGGTGGAGTTTGCCAGAATGATGCGTTGACGGTGTGGAAGCCAGGGGTGATTCTCAGGGATCCCCCTTCTTATTATTTCCCCTCTGTGTAATCCCTTCCCTTGTGGTGCACAGGACAGAGAGACCCCTTCTAACAAATCGTTAATACTGAACCTTCCTTTCTCCTTTTGGAGAATAAACAACTATCATCACAACATATATAGGACATCATAGAGATCAATCATAGGGGTTAACTAGGGATTAATAATAATTACAATTAAAGAAAAAAATAATTAAAAGAAATTTCTGTGAAAGTCAGCCTTTCCTTTATAATGGACACTTGTCCTTCAGTATATTTCTTATAAACTTGATGTGTGTGTGTGTGTGTGTGTGAGAGAGAGAGAGAGAGAGAGCGAGAGACAGAGAGAGAGAGAGAGAGAGAGAGAGAGAGAACAATATAGTGTTTAGTTTAATGCTTGCCCAGACTTCCATTATTGATGGAGGGATGCAGAGATGGAGATGCTTACAGGTATCTTTAAAAAGGACTATTGGTTAAAAAAATCTGGTTTGCTCTTTTCAGGTTATAGGAGTAAAAATTTAAACATTACTTTGAGTCTCCCTTTATGGGTGAAAAATCCCAAAATGGCTGTAATTTTTAAATAACTGACAAGCAATTATTGTAACATATTTTTACATAATTTTGCTTTCACAGAGACAGGTGAAAATGCTCATTTGTTTTAATGGTAATAAAGCATTCCTTATTATTACCACAAATATGATTCACATGGTGTGGTGGATTTTTGTAAATCATGTCACCTTAAAGTGGAATAAATATGACCATAACAGAGGAGGAAGATACTCTTTTAGAATGCATTTCAAAAGGCAAGGAAATCATTTAATTCAAAATGCAGCTCTTTCTTAAGGCATTTTTGTCTTCCCATCTTTTGAATGGTTCCTGGACTCCCAGGTCCGTTTTCAGTACCTATCAGTCTACTTAATTAAGAACGTGCTGCGCAGGGCCTCCCCGATGGCGCAGCGGTTGAGCGCTGGGTTGCGAAGCTGCCTGCGGCCTCTGCAGCGCCGGTTCGATCCCTGGCTGCTCCCCGGCCACGAGAGGAGGGTCCCACATGGCGCACAGACCTCTCCTGCCGCCCGCTGCTCCCCTCAGCAGTGTACTTCGGTCCTTCTGCCTGCTCTGCTGGCCTGCTCTGGCTCTGGTGAATTCTCTCACCCTCCCGCGCTTCTGACTGTACCCAGTGCTTGTATAAACAAAAACAAACAAACAAATAAAATAAATAAATAAATAAAACATGCCTCTATAAAATGAAAATTAAAAAAAAATAAACCAAGAACGTGCTGCGCACCTCCACCAAAACCTATGCAAGAGAATGGCAAATTTATTTATTTTTTAAAAAAGATTTATTTACTTATGCATACAAGAGCTGGGGTACAGGCCAGAGATGAGGGGTGTGTGTGTGTGTGTGTGTGTGTGTGTGTGTGTGTGAGAGGATTCCCCAGAGACAGAGTGGGGAACAGAACAGGCAGACTGACTGAAATACACTGCTGAGGGGAGCAGCGGGCGAGCCAGGAGAGGTCTGCTGCGCCATGTTGGCTGCTCCCTGGACAGCCCGGGATAGAACTCATGCTGCAGAGGCTGCGGGTTGCTTCATAGTGCGGTGTTTAACCCCTTGTGCCACCAGGGAGGCCCCAAAAGGCAGATTTATGAAACAAATAAGCAAACAAAAAGTAGGAGACAGGGTCCTCCATGCTCAGGAAGCATACAATCAAATTGAGAAGACCCAACATACTCCTGAAATGGTTGAAGAACACTGTCATAGAGTAGTGACATGTCCAAGTCAACAAGTGCAAATTACTCTTGAATTCTGAAAAATTATTGCTCGCGATTCTGAGACTTTTCCCCAGGCAAAATACAGTTCTTGACCACAATGTGGTTTTGCATCTTCGTTCTTGCTGTTCTCCTTGCTTAGAATGTCCTTTCTCTCCATTTCCATCTGATGAAATTCTCTCTCTCGCATTTAAGGTCCAGTTCAAAGGTTTCCAATTCCAGGATACCTAGTCCTACTCTGTTGTAACTGATCTGTTGCACTGGAAAATGTCGCTCACCCAGCTCTCCTCCCGAGGATTCCACAAGTCATGCCTCTCCTTCCGCCTGCTTCTCTAGCCCCATCTCTCGTCACCATCAGCTGCGCGCTGGCCCCTATAGTGTGTTGGACTAGAACACTTGAGTTTCTCAGATGGCCACAACCCAGGTCCTCGTGTCTTTGCACAGGCCCATTCTCTGGGCTGGGACAGTTTGCTTTCCTGGGCTTCTCTGCTTGTCTCCTCCCACTAGAGTTAGTCTTGTTCACCAGGGTATGTTCAATATCTAACATAACGGTTGGGACATAGGACAAGCTCAGTAAATGTTGGCTGAATGAATGACTGTACTACGTCCAGGGATTATGATGGAGTTTTCCTCAGCAAGAGGCAGAATTTTAAGTGAACAGCTGTGTTTCTTCAACTACCATGACTGCAGTGACCTGAATGCTTATGTCCCGCCCCCTTTCCCAGCCCGTCCCAATTCATATGTTCAAGTTTCAACTCACACGTGTGATGGTACCAGGGGTAGGACCTTTGGGAGGTGATTAAGACATGAGGACATCTTTCATGTAAAAGGGAATCCAGAGAGTTTTCTTCTTTCTTGCCACCATGTGAGGACACAACCAGAAGACAGCAGTCTGCAACCTGAAAGAGGGCGCTTCCCGGAACCTAACCATGCTGGCACCTGATCTTGACCTTCAAGGTCCCAGAAGTGTGAGAAATAAATGTATGCTGTTTATAAGCCACCCAGTCTATGCTCCTTTGTTACAGCAGCCCAGATGGACGAAGACAGTGACTACTTGCAATGTCTACTCATACACTGAAGCACTTTGCACACAGCATCATGTATAAACATTGTGCTAACATTGTCTGCTTTTAATAAGTGTGTGGGCTTGGACAAGTTTCTTTTTCTTCTTCTTTTTTTATTTATGTAACATGGGTTGACAGCACTGTATATGATTTAGGGGAAAAGGTTCACTCCGCCTCAGATGTCTGTCATCACATCACACCCACCGCTGTAGCCCTCTCCCCCAGACCATTGGGTCCCTCCCACCATTGCTCCCGCTCCACATGGCCCCCCCCTCTAGTGGCCTCCATTCCGTAGTCATATTTAAGTTTCTTAGTCATTCATGTGAGCCTCGATTTCCTTATTGGTAAGATGGATATAAGAAGAGCACTGATCTCAGGGTTGTAATGAGGAATAGATGTTCCTACTATCTGGAATGATCTCCCTCCACATCATCCCAGAGCTGGCACTTTCTTCACATTTAAGACTCAGTTCAAACGTGCATCCTCAGAGGCCTTCCCTGACTATTTTTCCCTTCTCCAACTTTTATCATATCACCTGGTTTTAATTTTTGTTTCATAGCATTTGTTGCTATCTGAATCTCTTTATTTACTAGCTCTGCAATCTCTGGGTCCCAGTTTCTAGTCACTGCCATATTCTCGCTGCCTGGAACAGTGCCTGGAATGTAGTAGCACTCCATCAACATTTGTTGAGTACATTTATTTACCCTTTCCCCCCAAGTCTTTGAGAAAAACCAATGGATATCCAAATTTGGGTGAACATTTTCTGATCATCTAAGTGAGGGAAGAAAATTTCTTTCAAATTCCTATTAGTCTGTGATTGAAGCACAAGATCAAGCTCTTGGCGCAGGAATTTGTCATTTAGTTGGAGAGATGTGACTTGAGTGATTCTTAGAACTGCGGGTGGTTTATAAATCACTAGTACTACACTATCTATCTTCCATGGAAGAAAAGTGACACAGTTGTAGATAAAACTAAGTACTGAATTGAGTAGTGCAGCGTGTAAGTGGAATGGGGATACGCAGGGAGAGATTCAGTTGGGGAGGGTTTCCTTGGAGGACCTTAAAGAAGATAAGTCATTCTAGAGAAAAGAAATCAGGCACTAATGTTTGTAAAGCACTTAGAACAGTGCCTGGTCCATAGTAAGAGTTACATATATATTTATTGAATAAAATGTCCAACTGATATTTTTATGCCAAGAGAATTTTATTTTTTCTTACAAAAAGGTATAAAAATATAACAGGCTTTATTTATGAAATTTCCATAGGCTGCTCTTTCTCAGGAGCACTCATAAGAGAACAGCAAAAACAATTTATGAACTCAAAGCAGTAAATGTTATGTACTAACTTTAGAAACAGCATCTTCAGAAGACCCAAACCTGGGGGTCACATGGAATCAATCAGATCATCCGAGTTAAGGCACCAATCCTCAGAAAAAGCAACAATGGAAGAAAACTGCTCAGATTCCCTTCCGTGAGCCCCTGCTTGGGCCTGCCCTTCCTCATTTAAGACACAAGGTGGACAATTGCAGTTGGACCTTCGGCTGGGCTGGCACAACTCAAACACATTGTGGCATGTGTCACCATTCTCATCTTTGGTCCCTTCTCCACTGGCTAATTTTGTGGGGCGGGGCTTAGTGAGCCATGGGGACTTTTGGTGGGTAGCACATGACACTGGGATCACTTGTTTGGATGAGGTGCCCTTAGAAATATAGTGCAAATCAGTGCTGTAGAGAACCACATCATAAGAGATGACCTTGGCCTTGATGCCACATTCAGACACACGGTAGGTGAACTGGTAGGCATATGGCTGAACATGGTTGGGAGGACAACCATGGCCCAAGTGTAACTCATGGAAGTGCACATACACATCACTGTTCAATAGGAAAGGGTGTACTGAGACCATCAACCAATCTATAGAGCAAAGCACAGTCATTGAATTTTGTCCAGAACAGACTAAAAACACAGAGGTGAGGGTGATCATCTCTATGTTGCACTTGAAAACTTTCATCCCTGTAGCTGATCAGGCAACACCCCAGGAAGTTTGCTGGTGTGGATTTCTAGAAAACACAAAAGGAAAACCATCTTATTTCCTATCAAAAGTTTAAATACGAGTGTTTCTTTTAAAACAAAAGGCTGTCCCTTAAGTGTTAAGGTTAAGACAGTAGAGCACAAAAAATATTCCCATGCAGAAAAGGGAAATATGTACGGTGATGGGTGGAACTTGATAGGGGGAATCCTTTCACAATGTGTAGTAATATCAAATCATGTTGTATACTTTAAATACCTTCTCTGTCAATTATACTTCCATCAGTGGCAAAAAAGGAAAACATTCTTTTGAGGGAGAACTGAATTTTACTTTTGTAACTCACTGTGTCTATGGATAACTTTACTACATGATGTTTTTGATATAAAATACACATCCCTCATATGTAGGATGAGTGTGTACACAGATGGGGGGGCATGTTTTGTGTGCAATGCTAACAAGGAAGAAAACAGAATGACTTTTGAGGCAAACACTGAATTAGGAAACAGGAACTTCACTTTACTTCAAGCTGGTAAAACCATCAGCCTTCAGGGCCCCCAGGTTCTCTATGATATCACACTAACAACCCCTTCCTGGTTGCTTTAGGTTGGTTAGCAATGACTTTAAATCAACAAAAGCCTAAGAAGAAATTGTAGTTTATTCTGACAACCAAATATTGAAATTTGGCCCAGTGACTCCCTTAAAATGATCCCATGTCTGACTCAGCTTTCATTTTAATAGTGAAAATAATTCACAGAAACAATTCAACGGCCTAATATTTCGAGGGAAATGTATACACACAAGTGCAGAGTTTTGCTTTTGTTCCCTGTGGCGTCAAATGACCCTGCACATATGAATTCATCTGATGAATTATTGAGTGCCTACTGTGTGCATGACACTGGGTTAAAAAGCACCCCAAGACATTTCTTTCCTCTCCTGTTCCCAGTTGCAAAACCCAGCTCTTTTTCTTCTTTTGATATTGATGAATTTGCTGCTTTTTTTTTTTTTTTTTTTCATGGAAATCGTGGCCCACTAGGCCACTGGAAAAGCTCACTGGCCTGGATGAAATGCTGTGTTTCTGAGTCAGGGACTTGATTTGATTGGTACAGATGAGGTCCCTGTATCTCCATCCGCTCATGGGGGCCTCCCGACTCTCTTGGACAATTTGAGGGTTTAAAGAGAAGTGTAAGGGCCCATTCAGGCTCAGTCCTTTCTTTTTTGTTCCTTCCGAAATGTCTCCTGTGGAGTGCTTTTTTTGTTTCTTACAAAGCAAAAACAGAAGCAGCAGCAGCAAACAAACAAACAAACAAACAAACAAACAAAAAATGGCCCTCTTACCCTTCCAAACAATGAAACAAACAAAATAACACAACAACTACAAAAAACAGTAAATCCTGGTGCCAACTGGTCTTGAATAGAAATGACTCAACAGTTAAATAAACAAACTACTTGCTCCAGCAAGATGCAGGCTATTAGCTGAGGTTCCTTCTGGAAGCTGGGATAATGGCTCCATGGCTGGGGTGCCATTGGAGACCCCCTATCCTAGCCGGTGGTCTTCCTCCTCTTTCCTTCTTTCTTAACATCATCTCACTGCCTGGACCTATTTGCCTTGAACAAAAACCTCCCCTTTAGAGTAGCCTTTGGAATAGGCCAAGGAAATAATATTTCGGTTCCATTTTCATTGTTCAAACCCCAAAACTGAGATGTAAGTTTAAAGATTCATTTTGGTCCCTCTATTTCCTTTCCTTCCATCAAGCATCTTTCCTACACTCCTTCCTCCTCCCGCCTCTCACGGAAATCCAGAGTTATAAAAAGCCAGATTCTCAGAGAAACAAGACAGTTGTCCCACAACTAACCACCTCACCACCCCACATCCACTTTTTAAATTACGTTGCACTGAATCAGTCTTGAAGGAAGGGGTTTAGTAACATTGCTGAGTTTGGGGTTTCATTTAGTACAAATCCCCATACTCAGACAGAACAGAATCTGTTTCCTCTGATCTTCTTATAGCCAGGAACAGATCGCCACAGGATGTGAGCACTAACGAAGACGCCTGTATGTGTGGCCAGCACACCTTTGGGCTAAGATCGGACTTAAAAGTGACATCAGTGGGCCCCGTGCTGGAGACTGCGTCTCTGAAGACGACAAGGAAGAGGTGGGAGAGTAGGAAGAGAGCAGAAGCAACCTGCAAAGGAGCTTGCTAAGGCCTAGCTCCACATCACACTTCCAGAGCGACTCCTTTTCCTGAGTGCAGGCCATAGGAAGTGAGCAGCTGCCCTTCCTTGCTGCCCCTGCTGCCTGCAATTCCCAGGCAAGGAGAGAGAGAGAGAAAGGGGTGGAGGGGCTCTAAGTTGCTCACAACACAGTGTGAATTCATCAAATCTGTTTTCTCTAACATCTAGCTGAGATGTGCTGGCAGAACGGGATCTTGGACAGGAGAGGGAGAGGGTAGACTTGGATTGCTGGGGGCAGAGGAGAAAGAAGGCTAGAGATGGGAAGGGGGTGCCAGAAGAGAGGGTTGTGCAGGGGTGCCAGACTAAAGGTATTTTTAGCCTTAGTTGGGGCTGTGCACAGCATCCTGGGAACTATGGACAGATTTTTACTTAAAACCTCCCAAATCTGCCAAGCTAAGGGGAATTGAGGACTGGGGAGGAAACCAATGCGCAGAAGAGAGTGCTCACCTTGGCACTAGGGTCCAGGTTGTCACAGAGGTGGCTGGGTGACTAGAAAGCAGGTCTCAGGGCTTGCAGGACCACAGCCCATTTTGGACTTGATTGCAAATTATCCCTGTGGTGTTCCACAAGCTGTGGGCTTAAGTGCATTTGTATAGCCAAGCATGGCTCAGCTATTGGTACATACCGTTCTGAACCGAGCTATAGAGAGTCCAGCAGAAGCAGAGCTGCTAATGACACCTGGATGCAAAATGTTTGCTTTGCTGGAAGCTACAGAGCACAGTGGCTTTCTGTTTTTCTCAATGGGGCTTCTGCTTATACATTTTCCATTAGTTCCTTTAACAGAGTTTTCCTCCTTCCATTTCTTTTTTTTTTAAGAACTCCTTAATAATAATATTTCTTTTTTATGTTATTTTATATATAATCGTAATTCTTCATGAATCCTTAATGTCTTTTTAAAAATCATGAAACATTTCATACCAGGAAAGAAAGCTCTAGTTCTTAATGTTTTGCAAGAAAGAGACTGAATTTTGCTCTAGATGCAGGGCATTTTTTAAAAAAGACAAAAGCTGAGAAAGTTCAAATTAGTTTTGCGATGTTGGCGAGTGGACTGAGAAGCGCAACACACATCTCCTTGAAAGCAGACAGGGTTTTCCTTCCCCGTCTCCTCTGATGCCGTTAGAGACACATGTGTACCTCTGCATGGGGACTGGGGAGGGGAATTAGCTCAACATTTCCACGTCTGGTTTTGGAACGGTTTGGAGAAAGAGCTCACTCCATAGGCTCCTGGAAGCTTTTTGGGTCGACAGTTATTTATTTTTAAAATTCAGTATGCTCATGACAGCATAGTTATCATTTGTATATTGTTTTCCCAGAATCTTGTTGTCAAAACAAAAGGAAACAGGGGAAAAGGAAACTCCAGAGCAGTATGCAATTATCTCAGGGAAATATAACTGTCAGGGATTTGATTTGCAGCAAAGTGTGTTCACTCTCTTGCAGCTGATTTGAAGAAAAATGGAATCTGAGTTGGAATAAAGCTTCTTTGACAAAACAAGAATGCAAAAAGGAAACAAGAATCTGAGCACTTTGTGAACTCTTTAGTTTAGAAATTCAAATAGTTACCTTCTGACTTTGCTCTGGCAACAAGCTCAGGGTTTGGGAACCCTTTTACAGGGAGGTTCTTTTTAAAACCCAGTTTTAAAGAATTACTTGGCTCACTGCTCTCAAAGAAAGTCGGGCTTGTGATTATACTAATGATGTCAAAGGTACATTAAAGTGCGTTAGAAAATGAAATAACTGCTTTTGTAGAACTTACATTCAAAGAACCTGGGTCCGGTTCAGTTTTCCAGCCTCCTGAAGCACAGGGTAAAAGTAACCGCACGTTATTCATCATTTCTTGTGGAAGAAGAATTATGAACTGCTAATGCTTAACAGTGTCCATTTTCTCAGCAGAGGAAAACACCTTGACTCAAGCCTAGAAATGGCTTCATTAAAATTCAACTAAAAAGTAGTCATTAAAAAATGGTTTTTTTTCTGATTTTAAAAGTAACTGTAGAAAAACTGGGAGATATAGAAAAGAAAAAAGAAAACACTCCTTAACCTTAAAAACCATTGTTAAGTTGTGTGACTTGATGAATTACTAGTTTAGTTGTGGGGGGTTGGTGGGAGAAGTATATACATATATATGATCCAAAGTCATTTCTGGAAGAAAAAAAAAAGCAAGCCTTTTTGAAAGCTGTTTTTAATTTTTGACATTGAATTTGAAAGCAATCAAAGCATTATTATTGTTTGGGCCATCTGGTTTTGTTCTTATAATCTGTTAAGCTATCAAGCATAGTTTAAATGTCACGGTTCATCTCGTGCACAAATAAAGGTTGCGAAATCCATAAGCATCCAAGCTCCTTGTTAGAGAGAGGGTTTTTTGGTGTTTTTTTTTTTTTTTCGGCACACAAATTGGGTGAATAAAGGTGAGCAGGCTGATGCGAGCTCTAAGTGGAATCCGGTCACGCACTGAAGGTGAGACATCCCCTGATGGGACAGTATTTCCCAGGGAGTCCCTAAAACTCAGTGTTAGTGGAAATGGCAACTATCAGGCCGGGAACGCCTTCCCTTACGGGCCGAGAAGCTGAGTTAGGTTCATTTTAAAACTGAACGAAGGGATGTGTTTCATCATTTCCATAAAATGTAAGGAAAATCCCAAACGCCTGCCCCTAATTCAGTTTATGTTTTAATTTAATAATTTATTTGAGTTTGATTTTTCAGAAAACTACACCCTTTGCCACAAAGCCCCAGAGTCCCTTCTCATTTTAAAAGACAAGGTAAGTTTGTGTCTGCGCCGAGCTCCCCCCTGCACCGCCGCATGGCCGCCTTTTTCACCCGGGAATAGTCTCTGGAGGTCTGCCCGAGCCAGAGAGGCCAGGGCGCCCCAGATGATTTCCGGGTGTTCCCATCAGAAGCCAACGGCTTGAATCAGATGCTCCTTCAAGGGTTTCGCCACCTCTTTGATACACCTGTGTCAATAAAGGAGGGCTCTAGAGGCTTCCCAAAAAATGCTCAGGCACATTCCTCTCTCCTTTTCAAAAGTGGGCTTTTTGGGCACTGCTTTTCTTAACGCGAGGAGCAAGTATAACGGCCCAAGTGAAGGGTGGCTCCAGCCCAAATCAAACCACAGTTGACTTTACAGGCTGTTTGGCTGATTTTTCACTGACTTGACCAATATGCATCTTCAGATCCCAAGCGACCTTGTGCGCGCTCTGCCCAGAGGGTTGCCCTCGGTGCCCGCGCGCACATGCTCGCCCCCGACAGAAGCCATTCGCGCACCCTTGGCCTCTGACACGTGGCGGAGCTGCCTTCAGTGGGAAGACTGTTGGTCACTGTTGGGGAGCCTACAGTTTGTGAGGCATGTGTGCAGAGAAAGATGGTCACTGTGACAAGGGAATGGCGGGAAGAGGAAGGCCCTGCCCGCACGTGCACAGGGAGTGGGGCGGGGCCCCTCTGAGAAAGAAAAGCCACACTGTTTCCCGCGGCTGCCGGGATCGCTACCATTGTTTCCCATTCCTTCATTCTCGGACGATAAATTCTGGAAGGAACTGGGTCTCTGGCTACCACAGTGTCTGGTATGTGCTAGGTAAATTTTGTTGAAAGGAAGAATCCATGAACCCTCACCAGAAATCACCACCTGCCCCTGCTTCCCTGTCCAGCCCCCCGGGGACTTAGTTTGGTTCCATGCCAGGCACCCTCTCCACCCCTTCCCCGAACTCCCAGTTGAAGACCTCTGACAACAGTGAAGACTTGCTGGGCAGGGAGTGCAGGACCCAGTCTAGGGTCCTGGCCACTTGCCCACCGCCTGCCTAGTGGCTCCCTGATGCTGGGAGCTCTGTGCCTGCCAGACTCCAAGGTGCTCTAGCCCTCTCAGCGGCTCTTAAGCAGCCACTCCAAAGGAGCCAGCACTCCTTGTGCTAATGCCCACCCTGTCACTGTCCTCCTCTTCTCTGTCAAGCCACTGAACACAACCTGTGTCAGCCTGCCAGGATTCAGTCGCAGATTCACAAGCAACCCCCACTGTCCTGGGCGCAGGCAAGCAAAATAAGGCAACCTCTTGACAGAAACCAAGGTCAAGCTCTCCTCTGGTCTGGCCTTTACTGAGGCAGAAAGCAGAAGGCCCCAGATCCAGAAATCTCAGGTCCACGAGGCACTCAAGAGTGACAGGGTACCTGAAAGAGGTTTTCTGGGGTCACAGGGTTGACTGAAATGAACGGACGCTGTTCCTTGAAGTTGCCTGGGGAAGGCTTCCCTTGCTGAGAAGGCAGAACCTGAACCTCGAGTGCACCCCCACCCCCCAGAGCACATCCATCCGGGTGTCCACTGGCAGCTCCGAGCACAGAGGTGGAAATGAAAGAACCTCCAGGGTTCCCGGGGCCTCGGAGGCCGGATGGGTGAAGTCTTCCTGCACAAGCTGACCCTTGGCTCATTTTGGGCTCTCGGCTCTGCCAGTCTGGACTGAGAGAGCTCCAGGCCCTCTTCAGGGGTGTCTTTCAGTGTCCCTCAGCCTGACCGCTCCCCCAGATGTTTTGAAGTTGACCCTGTCTTCACCTACGCTATTGTATTTCACTGGTAAATAAATATCATTCTCCATTTCTCTCAAAGGTTTGACTTTGGCTGTGCTAGCACCACATCCTAGCAATATCAAAATTGGGCAGAGGGCCTCCCCGGTGGCGCAGCGGTTGAGCGCTGGGTTGCGAAGCTGCCCGCGGCCTCTGCGGCCTCTGCGGCGCCGGTTCGATCCCCGGCTGCTCCCCGGCAACCAGAGGAGGGTCCCACATGGCGCGCAGACCTCTCCTGCCACCCGCTGCTCCCCTCAGCAGTGTACTTCGGTCCTTCTGCCTGCTCTGCTCCCCGCTCTGGCTCTGGTGAATTCTCTCACCCTCCCGCGCTTCTGACAGTACCCAGTGCATGTATAAACAAACAAACAAACAAACAAATAAATAAATAACATGCCTCTATTAAAAAAAATATTAAAAAAAAATACTTGGGCAGAGTGTCAGCTTGCTACCTTCTCCATGCAATTAGTATCCGGTAAAAATATATACATAATAGGTTAAACTTGTATTCATGATTTGTATATTTTAATACATAATATTTAAAATAAATCTATAATGTTTAAAAGAAATATAAACGCTGACCCATTATATTATTGTATCTGATAATATAGACACATGTGCTACATTATACTATTAAAAGATATATTAATCAATGGAGGAGGTCCCCTCTAAGGGGCAATCTCTTTCCCTTAACAAAGAATATAGGACTCCATCCTGAAATTTTCCTCATGGGTCAAGATTTTGGACTTATATCATTTGACTGCAAATACATGTATTTATAGGTTAAATTGTGTCCTCCCCCCAAAAAGACATTGAAGCCCTAACCTTCAGTAACTTGGAATGTGTGACCTGATTTGGAAATAGTCTTTACAGAGATAATCAAATTAAAACAAGGTCATTAGGGTGGGCTCTAATCCAAAACAACTGATGTGCGTATAAACAGGGGAAACTTGGGCCTAGAGACTTCACAGAGGGAAGACAAAGACACATAGAAAGAAGACAGCCATGTGACAGCCATAGGGCGATGTACTTACAAGTCAAAGAATGTCAAAGATTGGCAGAAAATACCAGAAGCAGAGCCAGGTCCTGCTAACACCTTGATCTTGGGCTTCTATCTTCCCAAGCTGCAAGAGAACAAATTTCTGTTTTTTTAAGTCACCCCATTTTTGGTACTTTGTACAGCAACCCCAACAAACTAATATATTTTCCCAACAAATTGAACAGACACTCATGCCTCCTTTCAGAGAGAGGAGCTTGCAAATACTAGCAATCTGACTCTAGCTCTTGCTACAGCCCCAAACTCTAAAAGTTGTCCCAAAATGTGTGGAGACAGCTGGTGTGGAACTGAGTTGCCTGGTTCCCTGCAGGCATTCAGGTAGAGGCTGGTGGGTCACTTGCCAAGATGGCTGGAAGGGAAATTCTTGTCCTATGCGAGAGGCTAGATTAGAGGGTCTTCAAAGTTCTTTCACAGAGTGCCATGTGTGTTCAATGCATATGTTCATAATACATGATCATAATTCATAATGTGTCCATAATTGTGTCTCATAATGTGCTCGTAATTAGTGCATGTATGATGAACACATGCATAGAGGAACACACACAGGCACGCAGAGCTTATTTAGATAGGTCTTCCTGACATACAGAAGATTATATAATATCAGGGGTTGGATATTATACCCCTCAACCAGGTTTTCCTTGTGACTGGAGCGTGTGGTCTTGGTGGCAATTGCCGCCATGATATAGAAGAACATACTCAGAATGGGGCTTACTATCCAGCTGTCAGGAATGGGGCGATGTGGCTTTTCTGAGCAGCATAATCTCTTAAAATCCCGCCCTGGGTGTTTGCTTTACAACGACCACCCGTGGAGGCCGCAGCGCAGCTATGGATAAGTGTTCCAGTATATAGTCTCCATCTCAGCTGGGAAGCAGTAGTAACAACGGCTTTTTCTGTTTATGCGCCTTTGCAATATTTTAAGCAATTGCAGAAGCCAAGGATTTTTAAAAAGTTTGTTTGAACGTAGGTCACTTATGGCAGTAAATCTCAAAAATATTGCATTCTCCTCCTAAATTTGGATATCTTTGATGCATATCGAAATCCCCTTTGCCCCTTAGAGTACACGTTCTCTGTTATCTTCCTTCATTCTCACAGTCCTCCATCAGGGCCCCTTCCGGGGACCAGAAGGGCAGCGAGCCTGGCCAAGATCAAGTCGATTTGGTCCTCAGGCCTTCCCACCAGCCTGCCTGGCTTCTCTCCCCCTGTACAACGCACACAAAAGTGCAAGATATTATCATGAGTTAATCATTGTCGGGAGGAAGGGAAAGTCCTGGAGTGGCCTGACCTCTGGACTACTGCTCCAAGATACACGGAGACTTCTGCTCCAGTGTCATGGCCCAGTTATTTAGGAAAGGGAGCAGAATTGACTTTCAAACCCAGCCCAGGGAGCTGAGCAAACCAGAAAATCAGGGAGCTCTGGGAGCAACTTCCCACAGCTGGGCAAAGCTGAGAGAAGTTCTAAGAGAGCAAATGGCAGTGAGGGGAAGGGACCAAACCTTGTAGAATAGCTCAAGATTGGAAAACGACGCGAGGGAGAACGGAAGATGCACAGACTGGAGAGGGCAGGCCAGTTAGCCACCAGCCGAGCACATGTTTGTGCTCTTGTCCCCTCACACTTTCTAAAAGATTTCTTTTTTTTTAAATTATGTTTAATGTTTTTCAGAGTTTTATTTTTTTATTTTTTTTAAAGATTTTTATTCTTATTTATTTATACAAGCACTGGGTACAGTCAGAAGCGCGGGAGGGTGAGAGGATTCACCAGAGCCAGAGCGGGGAGCAGAACAGGCAGACCGATGAAGGACACTGCTGAGAGGAGCAGTGGGCGTGGCAGGAGAGGTCTGTCACGCCATGTGGGAGCCCCGCTGGGGGCCAGGGATCGAACCCGCACTGCAGAGGCTGCGGGCAGCTTCGCAGCCCAGCGCTCAACCGCTGCGCCACCAGGGGAGGCCCTCTAAAAGATTTCTTTGGACGCCTAGGTTATGGGAACAAAGACAGAAACTGAGTTCACCCATTAGCCAGGTCATTTGTCAGAGGCAACTGCCGAACTGTGGAAACTGAAATTCCCCTGAAGAAGGAAGGAGGAAACGAACATGTATTTACCGAGACACCGTGTTAAGGGGCTTTACGCACAACACGTCCTCTAATCCTCCCAGCAGTCCTGCATGGCACATATTATGAACAGCCCCACTTTACAGAAGAAGAAACTGAGACCAGAAAGGTTAGGGGACTCACTAAAGACATAACAGAGGTGGAAGTATCTGCCATACTCACGAAGCTCCCACAATTCTTTCTAGTATATGCCAATGCTGAGAAAGTAAACACGGGAAGGCGTTTTTAAAAAGGACATAAAACAGAGGCATAGATGGTTTATGAGGGATCAGAATCTAGGGTGATGGGGAGTTGGAGAAATTAATAGCTTTTCATGCAGGGGAAATCGAGAACAGTAAATGGGAGACAGAAATTCAGAGGCACTTAGAGAAGATAATTCTGGATCCCTGTTTCTATTTTATCACTCCTTATATTTTAGGCTTCTTGAGAGCGAGCAGTCATTCCTGATTTCAATGTAGCACATTTATTCCCTGAGCTGCGCGCAAACCCAGAACATAATGGCCCTCAGCACACACTGTATATTCAGGCCTTCCTGATCTATTTTGACAAGGTTGTAATTTGCATGGCTTCTGTACAAAGCCACCAAATATGGTGACCCCAGCTATGAATAATGGCCTGCAAGCTCACCCAATAAATCTTTCTGAATGGGAAAAAGGGGACCACGCATTCTCAAGCTCTCACATTTGTTCACAAGCTGAGACTCACATATCCCTAATTCTACCCCAAGGACAGAGAGGGTGTCTCGTTCTGATTTCATCGTGTTTGTAAAAAGAATGCTGGACTTCATGTACCCATCTTGGTTGTTTGTGAAGCTCCTGGCAGAGCTTGGGTGGGAGAGTGGAGTGGGATACAGATTGCTGAATTGTCAAATTAGCAATATTCATGATATTCATGAATACCATGTTCTAAACAACCAGAACCAGGCAGCCCAACACTGGGTTTTCATAAACATTTTAGGGCTCACTGCTTTGTTTTTTTTTTTTAAAGAACCCACTTAGTGAGTCTAGAGAAAGCAGCAAGGCTGGGGTGTCTCCCCTCCTGGTGAAAGCCATTTGTGTGAGAGATGCTCGAGAAAGGAATTGAGCTTATTTCCCCATATAATACCATTTGGCATTGTCTCAGACTCTTTATGAAGAATCTTATGTTGTTTGAGCCATGTCCTGGCCCATAATGAGAGTTGAACAACTGTGGCACCCACCTGTTAGAAATCAAGACTCGGGTATTAAGCCAGCAGCAGTGACCCATTAGGAGGCCGGGCCACTTAGCATGGAGAGCGAACCTCCCCTGAACCAGGGATTAACTTGTTCACATGGGGACAATAACGGAAGCAGGTGCTCATTCTATGGGTTGTTCTGAGTAATTTTCCTGACTGCTGAGAGGTGGAAGCTGAAATAGAATAAGTCCTCAAAGGGCATGACCCCAGACAGGGGATTGGGAGATAAGGGAGACAGTCCTTGTTCTTTGCTTCCTTGGAAAATGGAAAGAGAAACTTTTGGGCACAAAATGGCAGCTGCCCTGGCTCTTTGGTAGTTGAACTACAGAACTAGAGGGAGAAAGAGCTGCTTAAAGAAATACAATGGATTGTATTTATCAAGGGATATGGTAATTCAGAACACAACCCTCAGAGGGAATGTATATTTAAATTCCTAGCCTCTAAATAAGAAATATTTTCAAAATGGTCACCTTTTCGTTATTTATAAAACACACTGATTTTCAGGGAGCAGGACTTCTCTTTGAGCCTTCCTTTTAGAGACTTTGCTTGTGGGAGATTATAGACCTGGAGGGAATTTGAAGTAGCACTTATTATTTCTAAATTCAAGGATTTATAGTTTCACTTTGTCTTAAGATCCCTCAAATCATATAAGTCATATAACAGTGACTGGAAATTTGGGGCTAGGAATATTTTTGTTCTGACTGCTCCTTCTGGACATGGCCTGGGGGTTTCCAGGTTTTGCTAACTGGATATTGGGGATAATGAGGGTCTTGGTGAGGAGGTTATGAGGTAGACAATGACTTAACTCACTGGAGAGGACAGAAATGGGTAATATTTATATGGACAGAAAAGGGTGTGAAGAAAGTCTGGAGAAAGACTTTTGAAAGTTATTGAGGTTTCTCAAAATATTAAAAATAGATCTAAGGATACACCAATTCCATTCCTAGGTGTCTACCTAAAGAATGTAAAATACTAATTTGAAGGGATATATGCACTCCTATGTTTATTACAGTGTTATTTACCATATCCAACTCTTGGAAACAACTCATATGCCTGAGGACTGATGAGTGGAATAAGAAGATGTGGTATATCTATCCCCAGCGGAATACTACTCAGCTATAAAAAAGATAAACGCATGCCATTTGTGACAATGTGGATGGAACTGGAGGGGATTAGCCTCAGTGAAATAAGTCAGAAGGAGAAAGACAAATACCTATTGCTTTCACTCATATGTAGAAAATAAAGAAACAAAAGAAAGGGTCAGTCAAAACCAAGACAAAACAAACCCTAGAAATCTGACTATCAAATTGATGCTACCAGAAGAGGAGGGGGAGGGTAGGGAGCAAAACATAGAGGGGGCCCAATGGCCTACGGTGGAAGACTACTGGTGCCTTAGAGGTGGGTGTGGTGTGGTGACATGCAGCTGAAGAGGTTTGATTCTATACCCCTAAACATATACAGTGCAGTAAACCAATGTTACCTTAATAAAAATAATACAAGGAGATAAAAAAGCAGTCGCAGCAGCTGGGACGAGAGAAGCAGGGGTTTCTGAGCAGCAACTCTGTAAAGTCACTATTGCATCTGCTGAACATTTCTGATTTATTTATTTGAGTCTCTTCTCTTTTTTCGTTAGTGAGTCTGGCCAAAGGTTTGCCAATTTTGTTGATTTTTTTTTCCAAAAAATCAGCTCTGGTGGATGTGATATGGTAACATACATCTGAAGAAGTACGAGCCTACTCCTCTGGATC